CGACCCTAGCGGCGAAGCTGTAGTTCGCAAAGTCGCCAAGTGCGACTGGTGGCGCTAAATCCGTGTAACGTACTCTCCGAGCGAATCACCGCATTTTGGCTAGTCTGACAGGCTTACTACTACGACAACACTATGCTCTCATAGACTTCCTATCAGGGGTGCCAGCAGAGAAGATATATGGTTTGCATCACCAACTTACCTCACATCTGGAGGCCAGGCCAGTCTCGGTGAGCCGTGCCCAAATGCTCTGCAGCCTGCCGCCGTGTTCAGGATGCTGAAAGGCGTCGGAGCAGTTGCACTGGTGCTTCTGCATGAAGGAGTCGTAGACGAGGGCGGTGGTAAAGCGAAGCGGCGCCCCATTGGCGCCACTGCCCGCCGGTACGGTCACTGGAATGACTGATGAAGAGGATGCTGATGAGCTGCTGGTGGTGGGGTGGACCAGTACACCGCCACCTACATCGGGACTCTTGCTCCCTGAAGTCTCTGTTGTTTTGGGCGAGGTGGCCAGGCTGAGCATCACCTGCGGACTGCTCAGCGTCCTCGACAGCGGCCGACCGGGGTGGGTGCTCTGATAGAGCTGGTGGTGGTGGTGGTGGTGAAGGAGAGGGGTGCGGAATGCAGGGTGGGTGCTCGAAGAAGAGGACGAGGCTGATGGAGGCGAGGAGGAGGTGGAGTGAGAGCCCGAGGCGGCGGCCGCCGCAGCCGCTGCACTTCCGGCCACCGCCGCCGCCAGCAGCGACCGCTGGTAGAGGGCGGCCGCCAGAGAGGTGTCAAAGTTGCCGCCACTCTGCGCGGCCGCCGCCGCTGCAGCCGCCGCCGCGGCCTGGGCGGCAAATGCCAGCGAAGATCTTCCACCACTGTTACTTCCTCCGGCCATTGCGTGAATGTTACTGGCCGATCCGCCCGAGGNAGCAGCGACCGCTGGTAGAGGGCGGCCGCCAGAGAGGTGTCAAAGTTGCCGCCACTCTGCGCGGCCGCCGCCGCTGCAGCCGCCGCCGCGGCCTGGGCGGCAAATGCCAGCGAAGATCTTCCACCACTGTTACTTCCTCCGGCCATTGCGTGAATGTTACTGGCCGATCCGCCCGAGGTGGCGCCGATGCGCAGCGGCCCAAAGTGACTGGCGTTCATGAAGTCCACCGGAGGAAAGGGGCTAATGTTGGCAGTGGAGGATGACTCCGGATTGGAGCCGGTGCTGCCGTGCCTCGACTTGGCCGTCAGGTCGATCACCCCCTGCTGCTGATCACTGGATGAGGTTTGCATGTCGTCCTGCATCTCCGCCGCCACCGCCGCCTCCGTCTCCTCCTCGACGCTATTTTCCACCATCTGGCCCTTGCTGGAGGCCCGAGTGAGTACTGCTGCTCGAATCTGCTGCTTCACCAGACTGGAGGCCGTCTGCGCTGCTGAGGAAGAAGAAGGACTGCCTGAAGTCGTCTGGTTCGGTGAGTTGGATGAGTTGGGCGATTTGCTGCCTCCATTTCCGTTTCCGCCCCCTGATGAGCCATTTCCGCCTGCAAGTAGAGCAGGATGGCCGAGCGGAAGTGGCGCCGACTGCGTCCGCCCCAGTGGTCGCTGAACGAGACGAGCGGCGTGCAGGGCCGCCGTCGGACGCATTGCCCCTCCTCCCGCCGCCGGTGGTGGTGGTGGTGGTCCTGGTCCGGGACTGTTCGGACTTCCTGCCCCACCTCCACCACCGCCGGAAGCGGAAGCTGCTGCAGCCGCCACAGCCGCTGCCTGCATCGCCTGCATTGCCATTGATCGGTTGTAGAGCTGGGCGGCGGCCGCCGCCGCAGCAGCCATCTGATCGGGCACCGAGGTGTTGCCCATGCCGACGGCTGCCGCCGCCGTCGCGTAAGAGTACAGGGCGGCGGTGTTGGCCAGCGCGGCGGCGGAAAAGTTGGCCGGCGTCTGCTGCTGCTGACCTTGGTTCGCAGAGGCAGCAGCTGCAAAGATGTTCGGATTTGATGACTGTTGCTGTTGTTGTTGTTGCTGCTGTTGCTGCTGTACAGCCGCCTGCATGGCCAGAGCGNTCCTGCCCCACCTCCACCACCGCCGGAAGCGGAAGCTGCTGCAGCCGCCACAGCCGCTGCCTGCATCGCCTGCATTGCCATTGATCGGTTGTAGAGCTGGGCGGCGGCCGCCGCCGCAGCAGCCATCTGATCGGGCACCGAGGTGTTGCCCATGCCGACGGCTGCCGCCGCCGTCGCGTAAGAGTACAGGGCGGCGGTGTTGGCCAGCGCGGCGGCGGAAAAGTTGGCCGGCGTCTGCTGCTGCTGACCTTGGTTCGCAGAGGCAGCAGCTGCAAAGATGTTCGGATTTGATGACTGTTGCTGTTGTTGTTGTTGCTGCTGTTGCTGCTGTACAGCCGCCTGCATGGCCAGAGCGATCGCCCGCTGTTGGTCCTCTCGCATCCGCTGCTGTTGCTGCTGCTGAGACTGCTGCTGCTGGTGGTGGAAGAAGGCCGTCGGACTAGTGGGCGGGGTGAACTCGCCCTCGATGACTGGGAAAAGGGGAAGGGGAAAATGGATTGAGATTAGTCAAGGCTGATTCTTTGGGGAATTCTTCCTCTTCTTCTTCTTCTCACCTGGCAGCGTGGGAAAGAATGGTCCCGGGGGCGAGGAAGTGCTGCCAGGATGACCACCACCTCCTCCTGTATTACCTGCTGAGTTACCTCCTCCTCCTCCTGCGGCGGCAGCCATGGACAGCCTCAGCGCTCTGAGCTGCATCTCCGTAAACTGCTGGCCGCCATTTCCGCCATTTGCCGCCGCCGCCGCCTTGCTGAGAATGCTCTCGTTGAACTGAATGACCGAGGCTTTGTTGTTGCCGGAGGGCGACTGTCCGGAGTTGGTGGAGTTGGAGGCGAGTGAGCTGGCCGTCAGGGGAATGTTCGAGTGGGGTCGACCCAGGCTGATGTTCGGCAGGGAGGGCGAGCTGTAGAGCTGCTGCAGGTGGTCGGAGGCCATCATCAGACCGGCGGCCGCGGAGGCCGCCGAAGAGATGCCGTGACACCCGTTGAAGGGCGACTGAATTCTCGGCTCCTGGGGGTGAATGAGGGGGGTGAACGGGAATAAAGAGGGTGATCATTAGTAGGGCGATGATTACGATGATGATTAGCATCAACACACAGCAGCACACTTAATCCCTCACCACTCTCTCTCTCTCTCACTTGTTGTGTTACGTCACATCGACACTGTGTACAGCAGTCAGTGTACCTCTACCTCAATAAATCATCACCCCCAGCACCTATCGGAAACCGCCATCTACGTCGTTATCATCCCCTTCCCTTCCCTTCCCCTTCCCTACTACTCCTCTCCTCAATTTACTACACCCAAAAATACCCGACGACGAGAAAAATCTTCCGTTACGTCAGACGAAGGTCACAAGTTGCGGTGGCTGCAGTCTTACTACACCACAACAGTCTCTCTCTCTCTCTCTATTTACAAGAGCTAATCGCGCTGAAAATAAGCAGCCGCCTCTGCTGTACACGACTACGACTACGGTGTAGAAGACGAAGTGAGCACAGAGAAGAAGGCAGTAGTAATAAATAGAAACACTGCTGCTTTTCTCAGACACTGCTACTGAACAGAGTGAGATTTCTCGGCCAAGTCTCTTTTTTCCTTTGCAAAGAGGACTGCATCATCACCCTAGTAGCACAGTAAAAATAGCAGCACCAGTATTCTTCACAATACGGTGGAATTTATGGTGCTTCAAGGCAGCTGCTGTTCTCTCAGTTGCAATGAAGTTTCACCAGCAAAGAAAGAAGAAAGAAAAAGGCTTCAGGAGAAGAGAGCAGCCATTTTGCCATTAGCTAAGTGGAATCGAGGCTATTTTTGGCAGCGATAAACACACACACACACACACCATCGCTTGCCAGTGGAATCGATCATAAACAGCAACTCAAATCACACACACACACACACACTTTCTTTCAGGTACGACTGTATGGAGTTCAGCTATGCGGAGAATTCAAGCAAAACTCAGTAACTCTGTAACTTACCTCCTGAATGGGCGTCGATCCGGCGCTGGACTGGAAGCTCGACTGGTGGCTGAGGACGCCGCCGCTCGGCGGAGAGCACGAGTTCTCCGGAATGCCATTCGCCATGTCGTCTGGAGGAAAAGGAAAATGGGAGAAAAAGAGGAGTTAGCTATCAGTGGATACTGGTACTGGGAAACCAGGAAGATAAGTGGGAGACACAATGGTAATGGATTGAGTAGTGTGATTGATTAAGTGTGCATACTTGACATGGTGCGACGCTTAAGCGGCGACGGCTTGTCCTTGCGGCGAAGCAGCGGCGAACTACGGCGCTGAATCACCTTCGCCTTCAGGGCAGAGCGCACCTTCAGATTCGGCTCAGAGGCTAGCGAGGTTGGGGGGATGGTTCAGGTGGTGTTGATATTCCAATGGATTGGAGCAGAGGGTGTGAAGCGGCAGTGTCCGAAGCGGTGGCAGTGGTAAGCACAGGTTGTGTGTCATGCGGTAATAGCAGGGAATGGAAGTGAAGTGAAGTGTTTGGATTGGATTGATCCAGCGAGGATTACATTGGGAAGGAATGGATGGAGAGAGTAAGCAAAGTTAGTGGTTAGTGATCTTTTGCTCTGCATTTGTTTGGTTATTGACTCCTAAGCTGGTGAAGCAGCAGTGATATCAAATCTAGGGTACTTTACCAACACATAACAAATAGAAAAAAAATGGAAAAGAGGAAACGCACCTGTCTTGCGAAGTGGAAAGTCGTGATCGTATTTGCCCAGGGTGGCGTGCCTACAGAAAGAAAAGGAAAGTGATAAGTGACAAAGATGATAACAGCAAAAAACTCGGCTTACCATGGTCCAATTCGAGAGGTGGGCGGACTGGGCGTGCCCGGTCCGCCTGCCGCCGGAGGCTGACCACCGTTGGCGGCGGCGGCGGCAGCAGCAGCAGCGGCCGCAGCCGCCGCCTCCCTCTGCTGCTTCTTGGCGAGGACAAACTCCTGCAGCCGCTGCTTCACCTCCATCGAGGCGGAGGCGGACGGCGGGCCGTCCTTCTTCTTCTTCAGACTGCTCACGGCTGAGCTGCCTGAGTTGTTCGAATTGCTGGAAATGTTCGAGTTGTTGGGGTTGGGATTGTTCTGACCAGGACCACCAGGACCAGCAGCACTGTTGAGGTGAATGCTGTTGGTGATGTTGTTGGCAAGGGCCTCCAGCTGACTGGCCTTCTCCTTCTCGGCGCGCTCCCTCTCCACCCGTTCTCGAGTCTCGCGCTCCCGAGCCGCGACGGCCGCGTCCTGGGCCGCCTGCAGCTGGGCCGCCTCCGCTTCGAGCTTCTTCTGGTGCTCAAAGTACTCTTGAAGGGTCTACAAAAAGGGGGAAGGAAGAATATGGGTCAAGGTTAGAAGGAAGGAGATGATAAAGAGAGTAGAAGGAAGAGGATGAACTGAAGTGAATCGAATGAGAGAGGAGAAGGAGGCAAAGAGCGCAGCGGAGAGAGCACACCAAAATAGAAACGCACAACAACAAGAACAAGAACATAAACAAAGAAAGTGACTGGATGGGCTCTTTTCCTTCATCTCTCTCATTCTATTTCAGACTGGACAAGAAAGAGTGTTGAAGTGTTGTGCCGATACGAACATACCAAACTTACCCGAATGTGCTCCTGAATCTGCTTCTCGTGGTGCTCATTCAGCTGCGCCTGCTGCTGTTGGTAGTGCTGGAGGAGCATCTGCTGCTGCAGCTGCTGCTGCTGCTTCAGCTCCAGAATCTGCTGGCGAAACTGCTGCAGGGTGCCACTTCCTGCTTGGGGAGGAGGTGGAGGCGAGGGCTGCTGCTGCTGACCACCGAAAGCTATGGGCGGAGAGCTGCTGGCATGTTCAGGGGGCGTTCCCTGGCCGAGGAGGCTGGTGATGGCGTGCGAGGCCAGCGGCGGCGAGTCGGCCATTCCATGAGGTGGACTGGACTGCTGTTGTTGTTGTTGCTGCTGTTGAAGTAGGTGTGCCTGTTGTTGATTGAAGAGGTGTGCTTGTTGAAGCAGCTGTTGTTGCTGAAGCTGCGCCAGCTGTTGCTGCTGGGCCGCCTGCAGCTGCTGCTGGTGGTGCTCACGAGATCCAAAGGAGCCGCTCGAGTGGCGCAGAGCGGCGGCGGCNCCGCCGCTGCCGCACCGTTCGGAGAGGACGTAATGGGCGCCGAGGTGGACATTGCTGCGGAAGCTCCGCCAGCGGCTTGTTGTGCAAGAGGACTGAGCGGGTGGTGGTGATGGGGATGAACCGAGCCCGGACTGGTGGCGGTGCTGGTGTTCGGCCCGGCCACCGTGACGCCGGACATTCCTCCGCCAAAGAAGTTGTGCTGCTGATGCTGCTGCTCAAAGGAGGAGGGAAAGGGCTGCGTGAGGCTCTTCGAGGCAATGAGACTGGCCACCAGGTCGGTGATGGAGCTGGAGGCGGATGAGGTGGTGCTGGAGGCGGTGGTCGTCGCCGAGGAGGACGAGGTAGTGGAGCAGAGCGAGTGAAGCGAGCTGTTTGAGGCGTACAGACGACGGGGCAGGGAGTGCGGGTGAATGGAGTGGTGGTGGTGGGATCCAGGAACGGAAACTCCTGCTCCTCCTTCCCCAGAAGTGCTGCTACTGCCGCCGTTGAGATGTGCCGCCTTGGGAATGGGAAATGGGAGACCTCCTCCTGAAGAACTGGGACTGCTCGCTAGACAGCCCGTCGAGCGAGAGGTCAGTCGACTGTACGGCGGATGGCTGTACGGGTGATAGTGGGAGAGGTGGTGGTGGTGGTGAGGGGGCGAGGTGATGCGCAGATGGTGCACCGGAAGTTGAAGGTGGTGAGGAGAGGAGGAGGTGGTGGGAGGAGATGTAGAGGAGGAGGGATGAAGTGTCTGCTGCTGGAGGACCGAGGCAGGGCTGATGGCGAGGTTGGCGAGGTTCAGCAGACTGCTCGTCGAGCTGTAGAGGGAACTGCGAGAGAGGGAGCCCAGCAGTTGATGGTGGTGGTGGTGATTAGATGGGGAGGAGGGCGGCAGAGAGTACGGCGGAGAGGGCGACGGCTGCGGAGCTGGCTGCGGAATCAGCAGACTGCTCTGCTGGGCGTGATGGGCGTGTTGGGGAGCATTCGAAGTGCTGGCGGCTGCCTGGACTGCTGCCAGGCCAGCGGCCGCAGAAAAGAGGCCCACCGAAAGGAGGTGGTGCTCACCTGTTGGAGGGAGTGGATAAAAGATGGAAGGTTAGTAAAGGAGTTTGGGAGTTTATCGTATTGAGTTGGAATGCTGGAATTCACCCATTGTAAAAAGCAGTTTTTAAGAAGTAAAAATAGAGTTTTAAAGGTATTTCTAGATGATCGTCCTCTTGGCATTAGAAGTGTCGCCAAGAGGTGTCACTAGAAATAGTCTAAAGTGTTTGACTAAGAGTAATGAACAAGTTTGCAACTTTTTTAACTGTAAAAAAGTTGAAATCGATCATAAGACTGTTTTTTTCTAATAAGTTTGACTTCTGTTTGTGTTATCTCGGAGAGAGCAGCTCAAAGAAGGTGACACGAGAAAGGGGGTGAGCTGAAGCAAAGAAGGGAAAGGGTGCTCCAGAACTCCGCCAAGGGCAAACTGAACGTTGGACAAGAGTCATTTTGAAAGATGTTGAGAATTTAAATAAAGCACACAATTGAGTATTGATGTGAAGAACTGAGTAGAATACTAGTGACTGCAAAAGACATCAATCCCTGTTGGTCGCCGATCATTGTCGATCGGTGTTTGCCTCGTCACTGCCTGTCCTGTCCTCTCTTCGCCTCCTTTTCTCACCATCTCAGCTCCCATCTGACACTGCCTCGTCACCCTGCTGTCGTCAAAAGGACGCATTCACGACAGCATTCACGACAGCATTCACGACAGCAAGTGTGCATGACTAGCTGAATTGATGGCCAGGCATATAAGACATTGGCTGCAGTCAGGCAGCTAAATTCTGCTCAGTTCCGCCGGCAAAAAAGAGTAACAGATTGACAGCAGTCGATTCAAGCCAGTCTTGTCTCTCTCTGTCTGTGAGTGTCTATTGCAATCACTCTATTGCATTAGCACCTGTTGTTGTTGTTGTGGTAAACATGATGGGCAGAAGTGATACAATCTATCCGCCTGCAGTCCCAGTTGGTGGTGGTGGTGGCTGCTGCTGCTGCTGTTGATAAGCCCCGTACAAGTTGCCGTACTAAACTGCAAACAGCGGTGGATAGTTGACTGACGTCATGTCATTTTTGCCAGGAGAGCACGAGTGTGTGTCTCCAAAAAGATCGACAGCATCTGTTTACTACCACCAGCATCATCAGGGTTGTCTGGACATCGTGATGGCCACAGTGATAACCGAAATGAAACAGGCAGAAAGAGCATTGCAAGTGTCGGGCAATTGCAGTTTATGGTCAATGTAAGCAGTGATGATGACGATGAGGATGTGCAAGTCAATAGAGAGAGAGAGAGAGAGAGAGAGAGAGGCTAGCAAATAAATGATATATCCTGGTGCTCATCCATCCATTGTGATCATCAATCAGAGACAAAGGAAAATGATGTACGGCAGAAGAGACAGAAGAGAAGAGTACCTTTTCTGAACTTTCCCTTTTCCTTTCTTCTTTCACCATCTTCATCACCTTCTTCCTCGTCCTCAGGTACAACAAACAGTGCAGCTGCTGAAGTGGACAAGATTGTGTCGCTTTATTCCTCCTCATCATCGTTTGAAAGGAGCAGCAGCAGCAGCCCATCAAAACTTCCCCTGGTCAGTGATGGTAGGTAGCAGTCTCTCTCTTTCTTTGCGAATGTGTGTGTGCTAAGTTGCATGGACATTCCATGAGCGTCTATAAATAGATCCCCACTGCCATCAATAACAAGTGACTGCCTGACTGGCTGTGTATAACTGCTGACTGTACAGGTAGCTGCTGCCTCGATAACAAGTGCTGATAAGTGCTCTCACTGAGAGGGAGAATCAGTGAGAGTGAACACATACAGGTAATCATAAGCAGAGGAGAATGTCGGCGGCACAGGAGCTGCAGCAGCTGTTGCAGGTACTCACAGTTTGCTGGGGATAAGCTGCTGTACAAACTGCTGCTGCTAACCCATTACCACTACTACGACTACCACAACCAGTGCTGACCCATTTGCCATGCTCAGTGTGCTGATGCTCAAGAACTGGCAACCACTTTCTGCCCTCCAATTACCACCTGCTAATGAGAATTCCTCACCTCCAATTACCACTTCTTCTTCTGCTCCTCAAAGTAGTTGAACTCTCTACATCTTTCCTGGGAAAGACCGTCCATTATCACCACCACCACGACTTTACTTTTGCATACCGGTTTGCAAAAAGAGAGAGAGAGAGAGAACGTAAAGATGACGTCAGATGCGGCAGAGAAATAGCAGAAGGAACGTGGGCAGCAAATCAGCCAGCCAGAATAATCCTCCGCAACCACAACTAAAGTCCACCCAAAGTTCAGTTCAGTTCAACCACTCGGGCGATAGAGTTTCACTTGTGATGAAGAGGCAGTGCTCTATAAATAGGACACTCTTCGGATGATAAACTGGTGCGCTCGGATGGCGAGGATGGCCGAGGCGGGCAATGGTCGAGAGAAGAGGCAGTGTTCTCTCTATCTGTGCTCTTTAGCAAAAGGTCATTTTGGGTGCCATTCCAGTGGTAACTGGTTCACACTATCATCACCAGTGTCCACACAGCTAAATAATAGTAAAAGAATCGAGAAGCAGCAGCAGTGACTCAGCTTTACTTGTCAGCAGCATTTATTATTATTACTACTACGATACGATACTACTACTACGATACTACTTTTCAGCCTTTTTTATCAGGTGTGTCAGTGTTGTCTCTGCTCTACAACTCTCAACGAATCATGTTATCGAACCTGCTCAACCGAAAGGCAAAAAAGAAGATTTGGGAAAAGCATAACAAACAGAGACAGACTGCTCTCATTTGCGCTCATTTGGTTTCACACTCACGTACCGACTACTTTACTATACTTTCTCTCTCGGTTTTTTGTACAACTGAGGCCTACAGCCGTACAACACACATCAGTTATACTGTGGCGGGGTTATCTAACCAAACACGTAATTTCTAGTTGAAGAATCATTAGTCAACAGAAGTACTGAAAAAAGAAAAGGAAAAAGAAAAAAGTGGCTGATGTCCACTGGAAAAAGGAGTGGTGGTGGTGGTGGTGATCTAAGCTTACTTGTTGTCGGACTAATCTGCAGTAGGGGCGGAGGGGCAGCAGCAGCAGCTGCTGTAGAAGAAGAGGGTGGTGATGGAGAGGAGGGTGACGGGGGTGATGGGACTTTACTGTGTGACTTCAGAAGATGCGAGGGACTACCTCCTCCACCACCACCTCCACTG